GTCACAACTCCAGTCAAAGATTAATCGATTATCAAATAAGTTGAGAATTATTTTGATAATCAATTAATCTGATTAATTTCTTCAGTTCTAAAATAAACCTGTAATAAAATTATGATTTGTACTAGAAGTGGCTAGAAAAAGCCTCAATGTTAAAACAGTCATAAAAAGAGGGAAAATAATGGGTTATAGAAATAAGCATTACACTTTATAAATCTTATTTTTAAAACTATTATATGTAAGGTATTCCACTTCAAAGTTACCTGCCATTTCTTGTGGGTTTGCCAAAAAAAATAAAAAATCCAATATACTATTATCTTTGTGATGTTAGCATGAAAAAATACAGAAAAGGTTACAGTGAATGTGTACTTTTGTATAGTATTGTATTTCTGGGCGATGTGAATAAGGAGAGTCTAAGTAATAGCTTGTCTTATGTGCAGGATCCAATCTAAACCTGGTGAAGCAAGTAGCACAATGAACTTTACATTGTTATAATTTGTACAGATAATTAAAGTAGATATTAAGGAACAAACTTGATATTTGTACATTTGCGTAATTAAGTTACTGTAAGCAATATTTCATTTGCTTTTATCCTACAGCTGTTGGAAAGTCGACTTTTGCAAAACTCCTGCAGTCGGCCTCTCCAGACTGGGAGGTGATGACAGAGCCTGTTAGCGAGTGGCAGAACATTGAGGGCAAGACTTCAAAGGTGAATTTAATCTTCATCTACCCACAAGAAGATGAGATTGTGTTTTCTCTGATAATCAAGGACAAAATAACGCTTCAGTCTTTTTGTATTTACCAGGAAAGGGATTCTTCACCCCATGCAACAGTCAGCAACCTGCTGCAGATGATGTACCAGGACCCTCAGCGCTGGTCCTACACCTTTCAAACATATTCTTGCATGACCCGTCTGAGAACACAGCTTCAGCCACCTCCAGCTCGTCTCCTCAACTCCAAGGCGCTTCCTGTCCAGGTGTATGAGCGCTCCATCTACAGCGACAGGTGAGGAGGTGGGGGAAAAAGAAACACATCTGTGTACTTAAAACAAGCAGTTTAAATAACATTTAGTTCTGAAGAATTGGGATTTGGATCTACATAAATGGGATGATGTGCTTGATAGTTTTTTTTAAATTAAAGTGTTAAAGTTTAGGACACATTCTGAATGTCAAGTACTGTGTGAGATGCATACAAGACGTTTTATTCTTCATGCTTAACCTTCACTCTTCTCTGTCAGATACATCTTTGCTCTGAATATGTTTGAACTGGGCTGCATCAATGCCACAGAATGGATGGTCTACCAGGACTGGCACTCCCTTCTGGTGGAGCAGTTTGGACACCAGGTGGAGCTGGAGGGCATCATCTACCTCAGAGCCTCCCCCCAGGTATGGATGTCAGTAATATTTGCTTTTTAGCTATAAATGTAAGCCCTTAAAAAATGACTCATAACAAACTTGGCACCTTACCAGAAATGCATGGAGCGTCTAAAGCTACGGGGAAGGCCAGAAGAGAAAGGAGTACAGCTAGACTACCTGGAGGGGCTTCATGAACAGCATGAGAAGTGGCTGGTAGAGAAGAGTACTGAGTAAGAAGATGAACACATTCCTTATAAATACAATTTTGGTTAAAAAAAAAAAAAAAGAAAGAAAAAAAAATTACATCCTAATTGCTACAAGCGTTTTACACATTACAGCATAAAGAAAATAATCTTTTATAATGGGGAGACTGTTAGGTTCATTCACTGCAGCTGGAATGTCGACCCAGCTTTCATTGCGCTTCAATGAACTTGTGAACTGAAGGTGGAACAACTACTGTCTCCTTATACTTGATCTAAGCAGGATCTCCTCGTCCATAGATTGAGGTGGAGAAGAGATCCTGTTTTAATTGTGGTTCTATTTGTTAATGATCAACTGATGAAATGATGTTCCAGAAAATGATTAAACAGAAACCATGAAGTGTAGAAATATTCTGTCTGTCTGAATATGATGATCTGGTTCACCAAGAATTAACTTGGTTGAGATGAATAATTTAGTTTTTTAAATTTTTTCTAATAAGTTGGGATCATAATGACACCAAAATAATGAATTTGATTTTACAACTTGAAGATCTTTCCCTTTGAGGGAAACTTTTGGACATGACCTTGATGATAGACAATGAGGATATCTGACTTTATTGTGTAGAATTATGGACTTTAAAATTATTTGTAATATTTACCAAATTGAGAGGAAACAGCATTTCCTTCTTCAAAGTGATTTCCTTTGTCTTGTCATTTTTGCATAGTGTTAAAACAGACTTTTTTTTTCTCCAAATGAAGGAAACACCAAAAATCCTGATTTTTATAGTAATCTTTATTTTGTTGACACGGTTGCTGCGATCTCATTGAAAATCATTTAGTCATTTAATTATTATGTTTTTAAATTAAGGCCTTAATTGGCATGAAAGTCATTAAATGGGATTATCGTGGCATTTAAAATGTTTTTTTTTTTTTTTTCATAAAAACAATTTCGTCAGATATATCTGATTTATTTTGCACGGAACTAGTTTCAGTTGATC